AGAGAGAGAGAGAGAGAGAGAGAGAGAGAGAGAGAGAGAGAGAGAGAGAGAGAGAGAGAGAGAGAGAGAGAGCAGGGAAACGATGGTTGTTTTTTTACTTGTAACTGAGGAAATGAGAGGGATAGACTAAGCATGGATGCACAGAAAGAACAGGCTAGACAAGTTGTGATCTTGGCACACTCGAATTTGAGAGGAAATCAGGAGCAGAGTAAATTGCTTGTGTTCTCAGCTTGTTACCATCAACGAGTCTAGGCGTCATTATCTCAAACACTGTAATGTTCTGCAAAGATGATCTATTGCCATAGTAGGAAAAGGAAGAAAGGCGGCCTGCGACTGATGCAGGCAGAGCCCTAAGCTGCTGTCGCTCTCCCCTTTTCCAATCTTGGGGTTAGATGAGGCGACATCCCTTCTCTCAACATGTTACTCCCTGGACACGCAAGGGACAAGCAACCTTCTCCATCCTGCTTACCGTTTTTAAATCATGATGAATAAATTTAACTGGGTCGCCCAAGTATAAGCATGCCAAGCATCCAAAAAAATGCAGCCCCAGCACACATTGCCCACCTTCTGCGGGAGTTCCCTCAACCTCACCCCTTCCCCCCCAAGTGGACTGCACGAGCATGATGATTGACTCCAGCATTGAACATGTTCTCAATATATTCATGAAGCCCTCGTCATCCATCCCGTTTGGCAGAAATGTGTCCATGTCCATTGCCATCCCTCTTTTACCATGAATTGCTACCAGTCCTTTTGTAACTGCCACTGGAGGTCTGCACACCATCGAGAGTCTGGGGTCCATGCCAAGCTATCAACGGCATAGTATTGTCGAAGCCGACATTGTTTCTTTCACTCCGTTATGAAATGGATGGTTGCTCATGAGGAATAAAGAACGCAGTTGGAGGCAGCAATGATGATGAAGGGCCTCACAACCTCACTGGTACTGAAGGAGAGACACAGTAGAAGGTCATCGGTTCAAGGCTGCTCGTTCTCATGGGCACCCTCGTGTATGCTCTTCATTTTTTTTTGCTTTTTTTTCCCAAAGACACACCCTCTTTTGCTAGTGGTGCTGATAAGAGCAGACACCACTAGCAGTTGGGGGGGAGGCTCCATCTATTAGTGGGGAGCGTCACCTACTCTATGTCTTACCCTCCAGAAATAAAAGATTGGCCCCATGGAGTCTTTGGAGCGTAATGCACGTGAAGCTATGAACAACACAGTATGGCCAAAGCCGACACTGTTTCTTTCACTCCGTTATGAAATGGATGGTTGGTCATAAGAAATCAAGAACGCAGCTGGAGGTAGCAATGATGATGAACGGCGTAACAACCTCACTGCTACTGAAGCAGAGACACAGCAGGAGGTCATGGGTTCAAGGCTGCGTACATTCACATGTACACCCTCGTGCATGCTCTATGTCTTACCATCGAGATATAAAGCATTTTCCCCATGGAAGTCTTTGGAGCATAGTCCAGTTCACCTCCTCGGCAGTGAAATACAAGACCTACGTGATATACCGGAAGAAATAAAGGCAGAGCAATACTGATTACTTCTGCGATACTGATTACTTCTGCCAACCTGTGCGGACTCAGGCTGGAGCCACAAACTATCAGACATTATCTCCTATGGACAACTCCAAAGACAGCCCATATGAGGTCGCACTTGCACAGGCTAAGAGAAGCTGTCCATGCATTTTCTTTTCATTTATTTATTTATTTTGAATCCCGCTGTTCAGGGCACTGTCAGTAAAGGTGATATGAGCACCCTTCACTGACATGGGCCTGATGGGGATGGCTGCTGAAACCGGGTCCAGCGCCCCTCAACAGATGATTCCTGACCAGTACAACAAACAGGTAGCAAACTACATTTAGTCCATTTGGCATGGCTTGACAACTGTCCGTGGATCTTGATTATGTACGGACAGAATCTCTCAGTCCATGCAAGCGGGGCTCCACTGTGAGGCATGTTTTTTTGGTTTTTTAATAGCTGAAGTGTTCACTGTGAGGCATGGAATGTTGTAGTGTCCAAAAGCTTTCACAATCAACGAATGGTCAATAGCACTGCAGCACTTTTCCCCACTCCAGAATCCAGATGCCATATTAAGCCCGGCAGTGGTTCAGGGGGAAAAAAGAAAAGAAAAGAAAAGAAAACCGGACTCTCTAGTGCCCAAGTGGCACTGGCAGATAGATAAAAGTAGTTTTGAAGCCTTTTCAATGTGGCCATGGTTATGGCCATGCGAGTCATGATGCGACTAAATTAAAACAAAAATAAAATTGGACGGCAGTGTGGCAGTTAGGCTCGAAAACTACTCAATCTAGCTGCCAGGGGCCCTGCACATTGCACAAGGATTACACAGACATCTTTCTTTCTTTCTTTTTTTTTTTTAAACCACCACAAACTTTCTCGTAGCGCATTTGCAAAGACAAGGCTCAGCAGAAAAGAATGTGGTTCCAAGTCAGACTAGTGGTATATAGCCCTCTGGTGGGGGCAGATAGAGACAAGGGGCGCTGTTTTCAGCAGGGAGTGGTGTTAAGCGGGCTGTCTCATTTGGAGAGGGCGGGATGGAGGGAATGGGTGAACTGCTGTGCGACGAGGGTGTACTTTTGGTGGGAACTGTATGCCTTTTTAAGGGTGCAGGACTGACCGTTTAGGGGGCTTGTCCTGAACTGGGTGGCTCCTCTCGGCAGGAACTGTTCAAGGGCAGGGGGGATGCTTTCTCCTCTGGGGGGAAGGGGGTTGTTTCAGGAAAGTGCAGTGTGGTGAAGCCTTGTTATCTTGCACTTGTTCGTTAGCAGCTGGTATGGGAGGGAGTCCTATTCCGTGGGGCCAGCACCTTGGAGGGAAGTACTGCGCCTAGGGGGTGTAAGGGCAGTAGACTCAGTAATTGAGGGTTGGGCTATTCTGGGGCCGGGGGGTTGACGGAGAGTATTGACCCTTGGTGGCGGCAGATAGTGGTGAGCGGTTAGTCAACGTCCACAGCGGAAGAGGTTGGTGTTTCCTCTCCCTTTCCCTTGTGTCGTGAAGTTAGTGGGTGATGGCTAGGTAGTTTCGGCATTCTTTCTACTTTGTGAAGTGGTTGGTACCTCTTGACTGGTCAGGGACTTGCAGATTTTCAGCAATTGTTTTGAATAGCTCCGTTATTCTCAGCCGAAGCCGGGTTATACACTGGGCGTGGTTCCCAGCACGCGTTGCGCCCCACAAATAGGTCTGAAAAAAAAAAAAAGAAAAAAAAAAAGGGCTAGTGGTATATACGATGTAGTGCATAGCATACACGAGAAGCAAATTACTGGGATAGAAAAAGACCTTTGTTACGATCCTGGTCATTTCCCAAGTGCAAATTCACAATGAAAGACAATGCCACCCAATTGCGAAAGAAATGAAAGCACTTGCAAAGAGATAAAGACCAGAGGAGAGGTAAAGAAGAAGAAGAAGAAGAAGAAGAAGAAGAAGAAGAAGAAGAAGAAGAAGAAGAAGAAGAAGAAGAAGAAGAAGTACACCAGCAAGACCAATGACAATTCCCCCTTCTCTCTCCACCTTCCTCCTTCCTCCCTCTCTTCACCAATCTTATTCTTCTCTCAATAATAATAATAACAATGAATGGATGAACCAGAATCAATGTCCGAAGTTCCCCCCTTACTGCTGACTCAACTCACAACAATAACAACAACAACAAGTCCACCATGGCTATGTCTTCCCTCCTTCAACCTCTTCTCTCAAGCATAGGCCATGGCGGACTACTGGAAGGCAGCTATGATGCTGCCCTGATGCCCGAAAGACAAGTCAAAGCAGCTATGTCGCTGCTTGACTTGGTCCGCTATGCCTGACTCTGCCTCGAGCTGCCCTGGTGCAGCGTTACCCCAACTGGGGCCTTCCAGGTGCAGCGCCCAACAAGGTAATGAAGACGGTGTCCACCATAGCCAGGTAAGTGCCCTACCACTCTCCTACCATGTCCCCCTTCTTCCTCCTTCAAGCTGGGGTGCTCGCCATAGCCAGGCTGAGCCCCAGCAGACCTTCACCTCCAAGCAGCGCTGCCTCAGACCAGCGCTGGGCTCCAGCAGCATGTCGCCAATCCTTGCATACCGCAAATGAGGAAGAGCTCTCCGCTCTTCCTGAAGATATAGCGGCCTACCGGYCCCCTGGGCGGTGACTTCCTAGGCCAAACGGCCTCCCACCAACCGGTACCTCCTCCTTTTTGGAGGGAAACATCATTGCAGGCTCTGTTATTGTCCGCACAGGCCCTAGACCCGGGCTACTTGGACTGGTACCGGCCTACCTCTATCCTATCGCTACTGGGCCTCTAAAAATGCCAACTTTTTGTCTTCTTCTGCTCGGCCTACCTGCTACTTGAGTGTTTTTCCCCAGCTGCTCTAAGTGCCGTGGGCCTACTCCCCGCTACCGGCGTGTTTACCTCCCTGCAACCCTTCCAAGTCACGGCCACAGGTAAGTACCGGCCCGGTGGGCCTTGCAACCAACAAGTACCCTTGCGGGTCACACACACATACCCAACCAGCAAGCACTCAGACAGGCATGCAAACCAGTAGGCACGCACACACACACAACCGGCAAGCACTCAGACAGGCATGCAAACCAGCAGGCACGCACACACACACAACCGGCAAGCACTCAGACAGGCATGCAAACCAGCAGGCACGCATACACACAGACTTGGGACCACAGCAGAATGCGGGAATCACAGCAAGGCATTCATTCCATTGGCAAATCCCAGAAGTCACCAGTGTTCTCAGTCTGTGTTTTTGGCGGGTCATTACATTACTCCCCTCTCGAGAGCGAGGTCCCTTCGAGCGAGTAACTCAGTCAGAGTCGGTACAAAAGGCATCGTAGGCATAGATCAAAAAGAGAGTGTTAGTGAGACCGAACGGAGTGAGTTTTGCCGCAAACTTAGCGGTCTGTCCATCAACAATCTGTCGTTCATATGCGTTCACAACACGTGGAGCACTCTTCAGCAGCTCTTTCCGGTCAATCCAGAAGAATTCGTTCAACGGATGGTAGAGGAAGTGAACCTTGTACTGTCTGTTCCTCCCTCTCCCTTCGTGAGAAACGATTCTGTCAATCTCATGGCCGCCGTCAATAGGGCGAGGTATCATAGGGTCTCGGAAGGGAAAGATCTCATCATCAATGTGTGGGAACAATTTGGAGGCATGGAAGACCGGATACGTGCGCAGATGAGGAGGCACGTCAATCACAAATGAAGGGTCAAAGTCATCCCCGACTACCTTCAAAATTTGCCAAGGGCTGTAGTACAGTGGAAGAAGCTTCCGTGATATGCCCTCTTCATCAGAAAACTCAGACATTTTGACCCAAACATAATCCCCTACTTTGAATTTTTCTTCTTTGCGCAGCTTATTGGCATGTTTGATCATGGCATGCTGGCGCTTGTTCATAGTTGTTGTAGCAGCTTTGAACAAGCGTGCGTACTTGGCATTGTAGCCAGGCATGTCGGGCATCAGACCAGGTGACCGTTCGGGGAACAGATAGGAGAGGGGATTACGCATCGGCCATCCATACTGCAATTGGTTTGGTGTCACACCAGTCGCAGAGTGAATGGAGTTGTTGTACAGCCCCTTCACTTTGTGCAATTCCTTGTCCCACGTGTTCTGATCTGGAACAATTAGTGCGCGAAGCAATTGGATGACAGTCTGGTTGATCTCCTCAGCCAATCCGCTGGCTTCGGGGTGCCGACCAGAAGTCCTGTTCAGTTTGATGTCGTAGATCTGAGATGTGAAGTCTTTCCAGTCGGCGCTGATGAATCTGGTATCCCAATCACTCACAAGAGTTTTCGGGGGTCCATACTGCAGAATGTACTGTTGGTGAAATTCTTCAATTACTAGCTCAGTCGGTGCATGAGGAGGTAGAGGGATCAAGTTCAAAAATTTAGAAAAGCGATCCACAATCACCATAACTTGTGAATTCCCTGCTGCACTCACCTTTCCCATGTCCGTGAAATCGATAGAAACCGATTCCCCGGGACCATCAGGAATTGGTAGGGGTCTCAGCAGGCCATAAGGCTTATGCCTATGGACTTTTGTTCTTTGATAGACTTGACACTCAACGATGAATTTCTGAGCAGATCTCTTCATTCCCGGGCAATCAAACTGCTGCAAAAGACTCCCATATGTCTTTTCGAAGCTGAAGTGTCCACTCCGACCATGTGCCAAATCCAAGAAGTGAGTCCGGAGAGGCGCATGGTTGGGAACACATAAACGATCAAACTTTCCGTACCGGCGGAAGACAAGACCCTCACATTCGTGAAAATCAGGCTGACTGTTGGGGTCAGCCTTGAGCTGCTCAAGGATGGGACTAAGGTCCGGATCCTTGGCAGTGTGTTTGACCAGCTCCTCCTTCAGATTCCTCCGGAGGTCGTAAGAGTCCACAAGGCAAGTCAAATACTCGGGATGGCGCGACAAAGCATCAGCAACACGGTTATAACAGCCTTTCTTGTGTTTCGGCTCAAACTGTAGACATCAATGTCATGCAACCAGCGGGTCAATGTAGGAGAGAGTTCAGATTGTGTATGAATCCACTGCAAGGTCTGATGATCAATGTAGGAGAGAGTTCCAATGTGCGAGGGCTTCACGCAGGGCGTAAAGCTCACGCATATACGTGGAATGACACTGTCCCTACCAAACTCAGATTTTTCCAAGTTGAGGTGCAGTTGAGCTTCTTTGAGGACTTGCAAAACCTCCTCAAGATGCTTGACGTGCTCATCCATGGACTTGCTGAAAATCAGAATGTCGTCAAGGTACACAACCACAAACTTGTTAAGCTGATGGCGGAGTACCTTGTCCATGAGGCACTGAAATGTGGCTGGCGCATTCGTCAGTCCGAAGGGCATAACGATGAATTCGTACAGCCCATCGCGTGTCTTGAACGCAGTTTTGTGCTGGTCGCTCGGATCAACTTCAATCTGGTGGTAGCCAGACTTGAGGTCGATCTTGGAGAAAACCTTGCACCCACCTGCCGCATCTAGCAGATCATCAATGCGGGGCAAAGAATACACATTCTTTTGGGTGATTCGATTCAGGCCACGATAATCAATACACATCCGGAGTTTGCCTCCTTTCTTTGGTACAAACAAAACAGGTGCGCCAAACTCAGACTCGCTAGGCCTAATCCATCCACGGTCAATCATGTCATCGATTTGTCTCCGCAGCTCCTCCAACTCGCCTTGTCCCATACGGTAAACACAACCCTTTGGAGGAACACTCCCTTCTACTATCTCGATCTTGTGTTTGACTGGACGCTCAGGTACTCCGCGAGGTTCAGCCAAAACTTCAGGAAATCGATCTAATAGAAGGCGAATGTTCGTTGGGATTTCCGGTGGAGGATCATCCTCATCAGAAGAAAGAAAATCAGATTGGGAATTTACAACAATTACAACTGGCTTTGAAGCATTCGGATCAGAAGTGGGTTGATTATTCACAGTAGAGGCAGGTGGAACAGAAGTAGAAGTAGTAGAGGTAGAGTTACCTTCAGAGGTAGAAAATGCAGCAAAAGTAGAGGGCACATGGAGAGGCTTTACAAGAGCTATATGAACAAACTCAGCTTCCTTGCGCCTGCACACTGACCTGCAAAATTTGTTAGCACTTAAAAGAGTCACAGGGGACTCGCGCGTCTCATCTAACAAGACAGTACGCTCGTTCCCCTTGGCATCAAGTACCACGAACTGATTGTCCGCCCACGTGGTCCTTAGGCAATGAGCCTTTAGCCAGCCCAAGCCAATGACCGCGTCGAAAGGACACTTGTCCAGGGCAATAGAAATTCAGCTCATGTGTGACAGTGCGATCTTTGTCAAAGGTGATGCGCACACCTTTGATAGCATGAGTAGAAGTGACAACCTCTTGGTTGCCTACCTGAGTCCGACAAGGGTTCTCCAGTTCCACTTGCTTCATACCCAGGCCCGCCTTACGAATCCCATTCGGAGAGAAGAAGTTAGTGGTTGAACCACTGTCAATCAGCACACGGATATATCGGCGGTTAATGAGCAGCTTAAAGAAAGTCAGCTCCACGCTCCCTTGAACACGGCGTTGCTGCTTGAGCTGCAGCCAATGCTCCATGTGGGCGTGGAAGTCAACTTCTTTAGATTCCTCCCAAGGCTCAGTGTATAACACTTGGACTGCATCAGCCTTGGAATCAACATTGGTTTGGGCTTCAAGAGCACGCTGCTGATCAGATCCAGGCTCCTCGGAAGGGCCTGCAACTGACTGCCCAGCTTCCCTTGCTGTAGAGAGTGTTGATGACTCCTCTACACCCCTTGCCTGTTTCCCTGAAGACGATAGCAATCCTGCACAGCATGCCCAAACTTTGAACAATGCAAGCATACGCGCAGTTTAGACCTTCTTTCCCATTCTTTTTGGCTGATGCGGAGGGCTTCCCAAGACTTGGTAGAAGCGTCCTCCGGTTTCTCAGGGATCTTAGCATTTTTGGGAAGGTGTAAGACAGTTCCCTTACCTGAACCACTGTTAGGCCCCTTATTTGAAGCAGTCTTTCTGAATGCATTAAGTTTTTCATCATCATTTATGTCACACTCAATGGCTGATGCGGTACAGCCCGTATCGGAGTCCGGCTCTAGATCGTCATCTAGAGACAGATCATCCGCATAGGAATGATCTTCAGCCTCCCGATGATCATGCATTGCAAGCTGGTTGCTGCTTCCAAACCACTTGCGTTGTGGTTTCCCACCTGCAGCGGGCGCCTTCTTGCGCCTGGCGAGGTCCTTGGCCTCTAGGTCGTCTAGGTCCTTCATGAGCTCTCGCCAGGTGGCATGGTCCTTGAGTGCTAGCAGGGAGAGGTAATCTTTAGGGGCCACTCCCATGACTACATCCATACAAGATACGTCAGTCATTCCCAGATCCGGAGTGGTGAACAGACCAGTCAAGTGTTGTTCCAAAGCTTGCATGGATGACCTCCATGTTTGGCCCTTGAGGGCCTCAAGCTTCAGCCTAGCCTTGAGCGCAGCATGTTTATCCTGGTACCGGTCAAGGAGAAGATCCTCAAGAACGCGGACAGGGGTGACCTTCAGCCAATCAGTCAGGTCTATGCGTGCATAGCCTGCAGCAACAGCTTGGAGCTCAATGTGGTTTCGTATGGCAGGCTCGGTATTAGTTCCCATGATCATACTTCGGTCCTCTTGCGGTGTCCGCATGACCTCGAAGTACGACCGCATGGAACTAATCTAAGAGGTGATGTCTGCCTTCCCGTCGTACTTGGACGGCAACGTGGCCGCCCGCTTGTCCATCATGGGACCACTGTACTGAACGCCGGTAAGGACTGTGGCGTTTTGGGCTGAAGTCCCTGCATTCGGGACCGTGACCAGCGCAGAACTGTCGGTGCTGCCGCTCGAGGAGCTGCCGCCGGTTCCTGCGCTTGCCACAGTTCCGCTTGCCCTTGGCACGAGGGCTGTGTTGGCTTGAGAGGTTGGGATTATAGCAGATCGAGGGTTAGGAGGGCGGGAGGCAGAAAGCTGGGACTGTTCAAGGCTAATTACTTTAGCCTACAGCTCTTCGTTCCGCTGCTCAAGTGCTGTCATACGAGACTCAAGGTTTTCCAAGGTCCGCAGTCGGACCAAGGCTGCTACAGCAGCAGCTAGTTCCTCCTGGAACCGGTCAGCATTGACTTCCGGGATCCGAAGGAGAGCCACCTGATCAGCAATACCGGCGGCTCTAGCTGCTGCCGCTGCCTCCCTTTCCCTCTGCACGACATCATCATACAGTTTTTGAAAGAATGGTTTCTGGCTCTCGTCAGCTGCATCCAACATGGCCTGCCATTGGTCAGATGTGATGGCCGTCATGCTGGAGGAAGGGGTGTCAGTAGAACTCTCAAGAGGGGTCCACTCTCTCCTTACGTTTGGACGAACACTCATCTTGCCCCTCCTCACACTCTCAAACAGAACACCTTCTCTCTCCCTTTCTTCCCTTTTCGCTGTCTACGCACGCGTCTCAATACTATACATAGATATTTCAAATGCAAGAAACAAGTTGAAAACCACTCAGAGAAGAAGGTAGAATTCCTAGCCGGAGAGGTGAATCATTTGGACTTAGAGCGTGGCACGCAGCAGAAGAATAAATAAAAATAAATAAAAAAACAAAACAGCAGAGAGGTCTGATTTATAGAACGGGCCCGATCAGATAAGTTGGAGATCCCCTCTTGTCTAACCTGACAGGGGAAATACATCACAATAAATCAGACGAAGAAGACTAATCTGCAGCAATGGAGATTTCGAGGGGTGCAGATGGTCGCCGAGTCAGACGCGGGGCAGTATGTGCTCACATGCGGTAAGGCCAGTCAAGATCCCCTTGAAAGGAATGCCCTTGCTGTCCGTATGTCCCCCAAATCCAGCACAACAAAGAAATGCACTGGCGGCAACAGATCTGGGCCCAAAAGGTCATGTCCCGTTGGGCCTGGTCATACTGGGTCCCGAGTGGTCCCAAGTAGGTCGTGGACCAGGTCTAACGAGACAGGGGTACCAAGCCAGTCCCAAACTGTCTCTACCGTACTGAAAAGGAAAAGACAACTTTCAGCAAGAACTTGCCCCTACAGTCGTTCAGAATTGAAAAGACAATGCACCGTAGAAAGATATGTCATTTAGCACAAATACATCATCCATCCATCCATCAGGYGAGAAAGCAATCCACATGCTCACACACACAACCAAGACCGCAGAGAAGAGGAAGAGAACCCAACACACCCCCAACAGGCCATGAAGCACCAAGCAACCTCCCACGGGCTTTCCCAGGTCACACGACACTTACCTGTGAGGCCCGGCCTCCAAAGATGGATTATGAGTCACTCCCCTCTCATATAAGTCATCCTGACCCCTAGCTACCACTACACGAAGTGTCCTAGCATGACTAAGAGGGCCTTCCTACACCCCTGTTGCAAAGCCGATCCCCCGTCGATGCCTGAAGACCAAAGTAGCAACTTGCAGCAATCCGATGCAGATATGGCGGCCTCCGATCAAGTCTCCCTCTTGAGGGGAAGCCCAAAAGTCACTCAATGTCTTCCTGAAGTCCAGATTCCAGGTGCGAGTACCTCTCACTCTCTACTCCCTCTCGCTTACTCCAAACAGCCTCCTTTGTGTCTCGCCACCCCATACATTCACTCAAGCAACCTGGTTGGGTCCAATGTCGACCCTACATGACCTACCCAGGTGGGGGCAGCATCCCCATACCTCGCTGCCCCACTTAACCCTAACTTGCAACCCTAATCCGAGATTAGGTTAGCCCTAACCTAATTTGGAATTAGGCTTAGGGTGACTAACACCTCTCGCCAGCAAGTAAGTCCGCTCCGATACCAATTGTTACGATCCTGGTCATTTCCCAAGTGCAAATTCACAATGAAAGACAATGCCACCCAATTGCGAAAGAAATGAAAGCACTTGCAAAGAGATAAAGACCAGAGGAGAGGTAAAGAAGAAGAAGAAGAAGAAGAAGAAGAAGAAGAAGAAGAAGAAGAAGAAGAAGAAGAAGAAGAAGAAGAAGAAGTACACCAGCAAGACCAATGACAATTCCCCCTTCTCTCTCCACCTTCCTCCTTCCTCCCTCTCTTCACCAATCTTATTCTTCTCTCAATAATAATAATAACAATGAATGGATGAACCAGAATCAATGTCCGAAGTTCCCCCCTTACTGCTGACTCAACTCACAACAATAACAACAACAACAAGTCCACCATGGCTATGTCTTCCCTCCTTCAACCTCTTCTCTCAAGCATAGGCCATGGCGGACTACTGGAAGGCAGCTATGATGCTGCCCTGATGCCCGAAAGACAAGTCAAAGCAGCTATGTCGCTGCTTGACTTGGTCCGCTATGCCTGACTCTGCCTCGAGCTGCCCTGGTGCAGCGTTACCCCAACTGGGGCCTTCCAGGTGCAGCGCCCAACAAGGTAATGAAGACGGTGTCCACCATAGCCAGGTAAGTGCCCTACCACTCTCCTACCATGTCCCCCTTCTTCCTCCTTCAAGCTGGGGTGCTCGCCATAGCCAGGCTGAGCCCCAGCAGACCTTCACCTCCAAGCAGCGCTGCCTCAGACCAGCGCTGGGCTCCAGCAGCATGTCGCCAATCCTTGCATACCGCAAATGAGGAAGAGCTCTCCGCTCTTCCTGAAGATATAGCGGCCTACCGGYCCCCTGGGCGGTGACTTCCTAGGCCAAACGGCCTCCCACCAACCGGTACCTCCTCCTTTTTGGAGGGAAACATCATTGCAGGCTCTGTTATTGTCCGCACAGGCCCTAGACCCGGGCTACTTGGACTGGTACCGGCCTACCTCTATCCTA